CCTTGCGGAAAATTTCGCTGTCCCTGAAAGAGATTGGTGGAAAACAATAATGTGATATATTTTGTTGCAGCTGTACAACGAGGATCTCGTCGATTTATTGGCCGACGATCGTTCAGCGAGTGGTGGACTGAAGATTCACGAGGATGCGAATGGTGAAATCTATTTGAACGGTGTCACGAGTCGAGCTGTTGCTAGTCCACACGAGGTCATTTGAAGTTATCAGTTCGACATCGATTTTCCTTAGCATTCCATTCGGAACTTATGGTGTTGAATGAATCATTCCTTCAATAGAAGTCCTTGCCATAACTCGCGAGAAATATCGCTATGAATCGATAAGTAAAAGACAGGTGAATGTGAGATGCTTGATTGATCATGTATTGTTCACTGAATGAACGATGTGTAATGATTAACAGTTAGCAATCGGTTACGTATAAAAACAGTCCAAGTTGATAAAATACTGAAAAACGATATGTTTGATGTGACTTCAGACGTTGACTATACTCAAAAATGGAGCGTTGAATCGCACAACGGCATCAACCAATATGAACGAACAATCGTCGCGATCGCACGCTATCTTCACGCTGATGATCAAGCAGCAACGCGTTGTCGCCATGAACAATGCGGACCTACAACCGCAGGTCATTTTCACAGCTGATCTTAGTTTATTCCTCTTTGAAGCGGCTAATCCTCATCTTATTCGTATGTGCGGATTAATTCTTGTAAGCAGAAATTCGTTTGAGAACACAATTTTTTGCGAAAACGGAATGTTTCTTTGTAGGAGAACGAAATGGCGATGACAGAAAGTACGAATACGTGTGCGGCTAGCTCGCAGAGTGAATTTGAGATTCTGACCGCAAAGTTTCATTTTGTTGACTTGGCTGGATCAGAACGTTTGAAGCGTACAGGTGCCACTGGTGATCGTGCCAAAGAGGGTATAAGTATCAATTGTGGATTGGTACGTAATATCGTTCTTCAATATTTATTCAAAAACATGAACTGATCAAGGAATAGAATATCATGTTATA